TGTCCGTGGCCTTTGTGGCGCGAGTTCAATCCCTGGCCGGCTGGGGAGCAACACACATGGCACAGCAGACCTCTCCTGTCTTGCTTGCTGCTCCCCTCAGCAGTGTATTTCGGTACATCTGCCTGTTCCGCTCCCCACTGTCTCTGGTGAATCTTTTCACTCCCTGTGACTCTGGCCTGTACCCCACTTCTTAAAAAAATATTCCTAAGACCTCAAGGGGGGATGCCTTTCCAAAATACACACACACAACAAATTTAAAAATTTTAAGGGAAAAGTGACAAGTGTAATATAAGAAAATTAGGCTCCTGTGAAGCAAAGCAAGAATGCATGTGCTCTTGGCTCTTTGTTTTCTGTGATGCCATTTTGGAGGATCTTCATATCTCCAGTCCTTTCTTCAAGGATGAAATGGCCTGGTGGGTACTGTTTGTACTGTTTTCCACCTGGAGTGAGATGTGGGTCCAGGGGCACCCTATGCCAGTTGGACAAGACAGGATGGATCTATCAGCCTGGCGCCCAGAGGGGTGCCACCCAGGAAGGATGTAGAGGGCTCCCCCAAGACCCACTCCTCTCCAGGAGGCTCTGACTTTGGCTTCTCTGCTCCAGCCTGCAGCGGGCACCAGACCCTCCTAAGTGATGGCCCCTGACCTGTCCTGACATACATACCTGGAGGATGACGACTGTCCTCACTGTAGGTCAGAGCACTTTGCCTTCCCCTCCTTTTGCCTTTCTCTCTGGGGCAGCCCTTCTTGGGGGGGACATAACACCCAGGGGTTCCTAACAGAACCATGATTGGGATAGTCTCTGAGCAAGCAGATGTCTGACCTGGGCCTGACCAGGTAACTTGGGGCTGAACAGATGGAGCTGGCCCTTCTTTCAGAGTCCAGGGAAGTAGTCCCCTCCACGGGATTAGACTTCAGGTAAGTCCTCACTACCTCTGTGCCCACAGAAGGCATCCCAATCACTTGTCCAAGAAGGGACCTGCAGAGTAGGAATTATGTTCCAAAGCAGAAATCATTGAGGGTCCAGGACCTTGGAAAGGGCCCTCAGCAACCAGGATGCCCTACCTCTTAGGAGACAGCAAGAGTAGAACCCCACCCTGGTGTTGCAGGGCTTAAAGACAGTGCTATCAAGCTATCACCAGCTATTGCAGAGTTTGATCCCCGGCCAGGGAGTAACCCACATGGTGCAGCAGACCTCTCCTGCCTCGTCTGCTACTCCCCTCAGAAGTGTACTTTGCTTTATCTCTCTGTTTTGTTCCCCACTCTTTCTGGTGAATTATCTCACCCCCCACACCTCTGGTTTATACCCCAGTTCTTGTATATATAAATAAATAAATCCTTTTTTTAAAAAAAAAAAGCAGAACCCCTCTGGTGAGGTGGCGTAGAGTCTCAGGTTCAGGTCACTGGGACTGTGGAGGCCATGGAGTCACATCTTTCAGATATTTTCTCAAAAGAACCTTTGGAGCTCCCCTGACCTTTACGCTAAAGGCACACTTGCCCTGGACTGCTCCCATACCATGGCTGTGCAGCTGGGTGGCTAGAGCTGGGGCATTTGTGCTCATTTCAGGACCCCTTTAGTCCTGCTGGGACTCTCCATTGGCCTGGTGTCTACTTTTTCATTGCACTGCAATCTGAGGCTTTTTTTTTTTTTTTAAAGATTTATTTATTTTTATACAAGAATTGGGGTACAGGCCAGAGATGCATGGGAGGGTGAGAGAATTCACCAGAGACAGAGTGGAAAACAGAACAGGCAGACGGACCAAAGTATACTGCTGAGGGTAGCAGTGGGTGAGACAGGAGAGTTCTGTCCCGCCATGTGGGTTTCTCCCTGGCTAGCCGGGAATAGAACTTGTGCTACAGTGGCTGCGGATTGCTTCACAGGTTGTGTCTTAACCCCTGCACCACCAGGGAGGCCCAGTCTGAGACTCTTTCTGCCTGATTCTACTTCCTTTCCTGTCTCCTTTCACAGGTGTGAGACATACATCACTGTCTGAAGGCTCACCCCATCTCCTCCTGCACCTTCTCCCTTTATCTGTCATAGATATTTCCCCAATAAATCTCTTGTATGTCTGATCTTGTCTTGGTACCTGCTTCTATGAGAGCCAGAAATGATATAGAATCAGGGTGCATACACAGATAAAATCTCAAATTTCACATTTTTTTAATAACTTATTTTCCAGAGAGGCAACATAATATAATAGTTAAAAGTTAGACTAAACAGACACACAGACCAATGGAATCAAATAAAAAACCCAGAAATAAAGCCACTCATATACAGACAACTAATCTTTGGTAAAGGAGCAAAGAACATACAATGAAACATGGACAGTTTGTTCAATAAATGGTACTGGGAAAACTAGATCACTACATGCAAAAGAATGAAACTAGACTTCTACCTCACACCATGCACAAAAACCGAAAACCAACTCAAAATGGATAAAGAATTGAACATAATACCAGAAACCATAAAATATATACAAGAAAATACAGGCAAAACACTACATGACATACATCTCAGTAACATCTTTAAAGGCTCATTCCCTAAAGCAAAGAAAGTGAAAGAAAAGATAAACAGCTGGGAGTACATCAAACTGAAAAGCTTCTGTACAGCAAGAGACATTAACCAAAACAGAGACACCCCACTGATTGGGAGAAAATATTTGCACTCCATTCAACTGATAAGGGACTGATCACAAAGATCTATAAAGAGCTCACATGACTCAAGAACACAAAGTAAACAATCAAGTCAGAAAATGGGCAGAAGCGCTAAAAAGACACTTCTCCAAAGAGGAAATGCAAATGGCCGATAGGCATATGAAAAAATGCTCAACATCACTTATAATGAGAGAAATGCAAATCACAACCACAATGAGATACCACCTTACATCAGTGAGAATGGCACATATTAAAAAAACTAGCAACAACAGATGTTGGCGAGGATCTGGAGAAAAAGGAACTCTCCTGCACTGTTGGTGGATGTGCAACCTGGTCCAACCACTAAGGAGAACTATGTGGAGGTTCCTCAGACAACTAAAAATGGAGATTCCATATGACCCAGCAATTCCACTCCTAGGATTCTACCCAAAGGACACAAAAACAGTAATTTGAAAGGAAACCTGTACTCCTATGTTTATTGCAGCACTATTTACAATAGGTAAGATATGGAAACCCAAATGCCCAAAAACAGATGACTGGATCAAGAAGATATGGTATATAAACACAACTGAATATTATTCATCAATCAAAAATGATAAACTCATGCCATTTGCAGCAACATGGATGGAGCTGGAAGGGATTATGCTCAGTGAAATAAGCCAGAAGGAAAAAGAAAAATATTGGATGGTTTCACTTATAGCAGGAATATAGGGGAACCGAACACAGTATCAGGAAAAAAATAATTATAATAAATAAAAAACCAAAACTAACAGGCAACTATAAACCAGGGACATTCTGCAGGGCAGGGGGAGGGAGAGGGATAAAAACAGGAGAGGGAAGAGCACAAGGGACTACCGTGATGGTGCACGGGTGAATTGGTGGTGGGAATTCTATGGGGACTACACCTGAGAGGAGGAAGCACACATTGTACAAAAATGAAGACTGAGGTAAAAAATATATAAATAAAAAATGTGGGCCTCCCCGGTGGCGCAGCGGTTGAGCGCTGGGTTGCGAAGCTGCCCGCGGCCTCGGCGGCGCCGGTTCGATCCCCGGCTGCTCCCCGGCCACCAGCGAGGGTCCCACATGGCGCGCAGACCTCTCCTGCCGCCCGCTGCTCCCCTCAGCAGTGTACTTCGGTCCTTCTGCCTGCTCTGCTTCCCGCTCTGGCTCTGGTGAATTCTCTCACCCTCCCGCGCTTCTGACTGTACCCAGTGCATGTATAAACAAAACAAACAAACAAATAAATAAATAAAAAAAAACATGCCTCTATAAAAAAAAAAAAATAAAAAAAAAAAAATATATAAATAAAAAATGTTAGACTAACTGGGTTTAACTCCCAAGTCTCCCACTTTTATCTGTCTTCGGCCTCTGTGCCCCTTCTCTACAATAGGAAATCTAAAATAGATTTCCTTTTAGGGTTGTTATGAGTTTTATATAAATTATTATACAGAGCAGGTAGTGTCCCACATATGTTAAATAGTATTAGCTATTTTGCCATTTTTTAAGATTTATTTTTATTTATTTATGCATATAAGAACTGGGGTGTTGGGCCTCCCTGGTGGCACAGCGGGTTAAGCGCCGCGCTGTGAAGCTGTCCGCAGCCTCTGCAGTACGGGTTCAATCCCTGCCGGCTGGCGAAAATCCCGTATGTGCAGCAGACCTCTCCTGTTGCGCCTGCTGCTCCCCTCAGCAGTGTATTTCTGCCATCCGCCTGTTCTGCTCCCTGATCTGTCTCTGGTGAATCCTCTCACCTTCTGGCGCCTCTGGCCTGTACCCCAGCTCTTGCATAAAAATAAATCTTTAAAAAAAAAAAGAACTGGGGTATAGGCCAAATGTGCTTGTGGGGGGTGGGGTGGGGGTGAGAGGATTCACCAGAGACAGAGTGCGGGACAGAATAGGTGGACTGACTGAAATACACTGCTGAGGGGAACAGTGGGTGAGACAGGAGAGGTCTGCTGAGACATGTGGATCACCTCCCTGGCTGGGGATGGAGCTCCTGCTGCAGTGGCTGGTAATAGCTTGACAGCGCTGCAGCTTAAACCCCTTTGCCACCAGGGAGGCTCCAATATCAGTTATTTTATCATCTTTGATAGATGAAGTCAGAGGAGGGGAAGGGTCTTTCCAGGTCCTATAGTTACTGATGAGTCTGACACTAGAACTCTTATTAAAGTTCTGGAGCTTTAAGTAAATATGTTTCGTTCATTTTTAACTAAGAAGCTAAAATTAAGTTTTAGGAAAACACATAAACTAGTTACAATGGCATGCTGATTGTGTCACCTACCTTCAATTCCACTGGATAGGTAACTCCAAAAATGACAGGCTCGATAATACTGATCTTTTTCCTAGACTATATCCATCAGATGACTTATTCTGGAATACAGAAATGGCAATGAAGATCATACCTGTTTCCTCTTCTTGTTACATTAGCAAACGCTCTTTACTGGTGAGTGTGTCTAAAGTATGCTTTACAAGGAAGGAAAAAGGGCAAGATGGTAAGGAAACCAACATTTGACCCCACTAAGATGCTTTGGGTTGGTTCTTTAATCCCAGTGACAATCCTGAGGTAGGTAGCACCACTTCCCTTAAACAAAGAAGGAACAACTTGTAGAGTTTTCTAAGATTCTGAATCTAGAAAATTACAGAGCTTGCATTCCTAACCTAGGTTTGTCACACTTCAAAGCCCATACCCTACCTTTACTTTTTTTTTTTTTTTAACTTTAGATGGTGATCTTCCAGAACTGGGGGATTGGTTGATTTAAATTTGCATGACAGGATGCTAAATGGGAATTTTCCTCTTATGACCAAGATACAACAGACATGACATTCTAAAGCTAGGTTTTCAAAGGAAATAACCAAGCAGCTCTCAAACATACAAATATTAAAAGGGTCAAGAGAGTCAATATGGAGAAGGAAATTGTGAGGATTTCTTTGCAATGGGTTTCCAAAGAAGGGGAGAGTTGGAGTGGTTTCCCCTTGCACCTGAAGGCTTTACCTGGGCCCTTTGCAGCTTGATATGTAGCTTTTGGAGTTTGGAGACACAGTGAAATGAGATCTGATTAAAGCATGAGAAATCTCGTGGGCTAGAGAATGTGGCTGTGGTGATGGTGGGAGCAAATGAGAAGCGGCTGTATTGGGGTGTCTGTATTCCCAATTTCTTGGGGGCAAAATATACATTAATGGTTCTCATGTACCAGAAGTGGGCCCTGCGGGCCTCCCCCGTGGTGTAGTGGTTGAGCGCTGAGTTGCGAAGCTGCTCGCAGCCTCTGCAGTGCCAGTTCGATCCCCAGCTGCTCCCCGGCCACCGGAGGAGGGTCCCACATGGCGCGCAGACCTCTCCTGCCGCCCGCTGCTCCCCTCAGCAGTGTACCTCGGTCCTTCTGCCTGCTCTGCTCCCCGCTCTGGCTCTGGTGAATTCTCTCACCCTCCCGTGCTTCTGACTGTACCCAGTGCTTGTATAAATAAATAAATAAATCTTAAAAAAAAAAAAAAAAGAAGTGGGTCCTGCAGGAGAACAAAGTGCTTGAGAGGCCTGCCAAAGAGAACTGTTTGGGCATGCTATGGATACCACCAGAGAAACAGGAATGGACTACTGTTAATCCCAGAGCTTGAAGGGGAAATAGCAATAGAATGTTTTGCTCTTGACACAGAGGTTGCACTAGGGGAGCCTGAGATCATGAGTCAGCTTTAAATATCAGCTAGACCCAGAAAGCATGAAGCTAACTTACTTCACAGCCAGTCGCAAACTTTCTGCTTACACCCTTCCTTTAACCCCAGGCCCCTTTAACCCCTGAAGTCACAATTAGAAAGCTGGGAAGGGTGGGGAAAAAAGAAACCCTGCACATCTCTTCCCCTCAAAGTGGGAGGCCCACTAGAAATTGGTGCTGGGGTGGAAAGAAGCTTCACTCTAAACAGAGTTCAGAGAGTCTTTCATTATTTGGAGCTGGGGGTTCTAATCACTGAAACCGTTTGTGATTTAAAATGACAAGCAGGGGCTCTACAAAGTGAGTAGCATGGGGGCTGGAAAAAATTTAATTTTAAAGGTATATATTGTGCCTTGCTTCTATTACTAAATGCTAATATTTTTGCATTAATTTTGCTACACCAGCCTTCTTTTGCTTAGTATTTGCCTGGTATGTGTCCCACCATCCTTTTATTTTTAACTTTTCTGGATAATTATAAGAGCACTTCTGAGAAAAAGCATGAAACTAGATTCTGTGCCTTGGAAAAAATCCAATCTGAGGGTTTATCTTTCAATGAGCTTAATCCATTTACATTTATTGTGATTAACACATTATAGATATGCATTTTACCATTTTATATTGTTTTCTATTTACCATGTTTTTTCTTTGTATCCTCTCCTCTCTTTTCCTGTCTTCTGTAGGATCAAGATTTCTTTAGAATTTACATCTTTCCCCCCCCAAGTTCTACTTACTGAGATAAAGTAGGTTAACATCTTTGAATCTGCTCCAGGGGTTATAGGTTCAAACCTTTCACACCTTGCCTACCACCAGTGCCCCAACAATTCTCCACCCTGCTCCACTGGGTCCCTTCCATGCCCCTCTCACACCCCACCACCCTCCCCCTCTGGTTGCCTCAGTTTTGCAGAGAGATGTTAAGAGTTTATTAGTTTGGTTTTGATTGACCCTGTTATGTTTCTCTATATTCCACATATAAGCGAGACCATCTAGTATTTGTCTTTTTCCTTTTATTTCTCTTAGCATCATCCTCTCCAGTCTCATCCATGTTGTTGCAAATGGCATTTCATTCCTTTTTAATAGCTGAGTAGTATTCCATTGTGATATATAACACATTTTTCTGATTCACTCCTCTGTCCTTGGGCACTTAGGCTGTTTCCATAACTTAGCTATTACAAACAGGGCTGCAAAGAACTTAGGAGTGCATATATTCCTACAAATTATTGTTTTTGTATTCTTTGGTAGATACCTCGGAGTGGAATTGGTGGGTCATATGGTAGATCCATTTTTAGTATTTTGGGTCTAGACCAGATTATTATATTCTATTTTAATGTTTTAGATTTTGCTGAATTGCTATTTAACTTGAAGTCAAGAGTAGCTTCAATTTCCTCATTCTTATGCAGATTTTTATATCTTGGGAAAAAGTATATACATTTAAAGAAAAAATACTTCTGATAATTGACATTTGTATAAGCAAGCAAGCTAAACTAAATTGCTATAGTTGTTTATACACTTTCAAATATATGCTAGAAAATACATACTAGAAAAAGCTAAGTGTTACCTTCATAATGCATTAATGGATCAGAAAAAAGGTGACAAAAGAGTTCTTCAATTCTTAAAGGTATCTTTAAAGACCTTTAAGTGTCTAGGGACCTCAGGCTTTGGTGCTACTTAACACCACAGGATGGGGCCTTGGGCGCAGCAGGTTGAGCGCCGCGCTCTGCAGCTGTCCGCAGCCTCTGCGGCACGGGTTTGATCCTGGCCGGCTGGCAAGAATCCCACATGGCGCAGCAGACCTCTCCTGCCGAGCCTGCTGCTCCCCTCAGCAGTGTATTTCAGTCAGTCTGCCTGGTCTGTTCCCCGCTCTGTCTCTGGTGAATCTTCTCACCCTCCCGCGCATCTGGCCTGTACCCTGGTTCTTGTATAAATAAATCAATCTTAAAAAAAAAAAGTAAAAAAAAAAAACAAAACAAAACAGAAACAACACAGGATGGGCCTCCATGGTGGCACAACAAAGTGTCAGCACTATAAAGCTATCCGCAGCCACTGCAGCACAGAGTTCATGAGTTCGATGCCCAGCCAGGGAGCTAACCCACATGACACAGGAAACCTCTCCTGTCTCCCAGCTGCTCCCCTCAGCAGTGTACTTCATTAGATCCGCCTGTCCTGCTCCCCACTCTGTGTTCCCCCACCCCCCTGCACCTCTGGCCTACAACCCAGCTCTTATATAAATCTTAAAAAAAAAAAAAAAAGACGACAGGATGTTTGTATAACTGAGATGGGAAGTCCCCAATAATTTTAGTGGACATCCCACCAACATACTACATTTAGATCCCAGAAATTATGTTCCTTTAATGCAATCTTAAAACACGGTATTTCTAACCTTCTCAAGGGTATGAGCCAAGATCCACCTGTTTGCTAGGTCTGATTCAAAGTTTAAATAACAAAGGAAACAGGGGCCTACCTGATGCCTTAGGGGCTCAGTCTCAATGCTACCACGGCCACCACCACCACCTCAGCCCTCAGTCCCTCCACTGTGGCCTGAGTTTGATCCCCTGCCAGGGAGGTGACCCACATGGCACAGCAGATGTGTCCTATCTTGCCTGCTGCTCCCCTCAGCAGTGTGTTTCAGTAGATTCACCTGTTCTGCTCCCCACTCAGTCTCTAGTGAATCCTCTCACATCCCCTCAACCCTACACCCCAGTTCTTCTACACAAAAATAAAATCTTTAAAAAAACAAACAGGAACAAACCCTTATGAAGTGTTTCCCGGAGTCCATGAGCTATTTCAGAAACTGTCCTCTAGACAAAAGCATTTTTTGTAAGAACTCATCTAGTTGGCCAGGCCTAGTCCCACAAAGGATCCAATTCTTCTAAGAATTTATTGGCAAAGTATGAACTATAGTTATTTCAAGTGTGTGCTAGAAATCTCTCACCCACCCTCACCACCCCCATCCACTTTTTCTCCCTGTTTTGTGTCCCTCAGGCTTACCAATAGACTTTATCAAAGGCCTTCCTTGCCCATCAGCTTCCAGCTTGGTCAAAGGGAAATAACCCAGCAGGAGAGAAAGAGAAGGGAAGAGGAAGGTCCAGGACTCCTCCTTGTGCTGAATTTTCTTCAAGGTTGGTCTCTGAGCTGACTGCATCCTGAAGATCAATTTCTACCAGGTGTCTTTTTCCAGAGTTGTCTATCATTCCAGCACTGCCTGCTCCCTTCTCTACCCCTCCCCACCCTCTCCCCTCTTCCCCTGCTCCCTCCTCCTACTCTTCCTTGCCTGGAGGTAGCAACACCAGGTCACCTTCAAATTCATATGTTGAAGTCCTAAGCCCCAGTATCTCAGAATGTGATTGTATTTGGATAATCTTTACAGAGGCGATTAAGGAAAAGTGACACCATCAGGATGGGCCCTAACCTGACTGGCATCCTTTTAAGAGGAGACTGGGACACAGACAGGTACAGAATGAAAGGCCATGTGAAGTCACAGGGAGAAGTTGGCATCATCCACAAGCTGAGAGGCCTGAGAAGAAACAAAGTCTGCTAACACCTTCATCTCAGACTTCTAGCCTCCAGAATTATGAGAAAGTTCCTGATGTTTAACCCACCCAGTCTGTGAAAATTTGACATGGTAGCCCCAGCAAACTAATACCATGACCCGATTTCTGTGCTGACAACTTGGAAAAAAATTTATTAAACTTTCCTCACATTATACATTTTTGAGTCCCATTTGTTATCTGCTGGGACCCCAACTGGTCTAGTAGGATTATGCGATTCTCATTTCCGTATTTTTTTGTGTTTTCCAGTTTCTACAGTAACCCGGGAAGATTTTCTTTTTGTTTCAAGAAGTGGAAAACACTGTCACAAAACAAAAGTTGTTCTGACTGTGAAATTTCCATATAAAATGGATTTGTAAGTAAAGGCATCCAACACCATCCCTCTCACCCAGAGGTTCCCAATCTAGGATTCCCAAATGTCATGTTCAAGGGATTATAAAATCAGAGGGAATGAAATCCGTGTGGGAACCAGGGAAAGCTGTCAATTCTGGCTCCAAATCTCCCAGTATTTCTAATAGAAGCGCTACTGAAGGTGGTCGCCCAAGCATCCCCTGGTGGAAAAGAGCAAACAGTGCTCTATATACGTGTAAGGGATTGTTAAGTACCCATGAAACACCCTATCATACCAGCCCAACTCATAGGGGCAAGGAGCCTCAGGAACAAAACTGGTTCTTCTAAGACCATGAAGATGCAATCCCACTGAGAAGCAACTCCCAGGGCAGAGGAGGGAACAGGCCAGGCCTACTCCATGTTTCCTCGCCCAACAGAGAAGGGAATTCTTCCAGCGGGGTTCAAATTCTCATTTGATACCACCTAGATATTTCCTGAGCTTGCTGACTCGTCAGCCTCAGTAACATTAAAGGCACACTGCAAATTACTTGCTTTGAAATTTAGAAACAAATTTTATTTAAGATCTGAAATACAATTCCTAAAATATCAACTTCTCCAGAAAACCGTGGCTACACAATAATGCATTGCCTCTATCATGTTAGAACGTGCATTAGACTCAAATACAAAAACCATGAAACAAACCACCATCCTTCAACAACTTGAGCAAAGATAGAATGCCTAAGGAACAACATAGATGGACTTGCAGAGGATGGGCTGTTTTACTTCAAGCACCATAAAAAAAAAAAAAGAGCACAAATGCATGGGTTTTCGGGTATATACATTAAGTTGAACCTTTGGCACTAGGAATCAGGGCATTTTGTCACGTAGCATTAACACATATTAGAAAACTGTGTAGTGTCAAAGGGATAGAACCACCAGCATTCAAGCAATGTTGTCAACTAGGCAATAAAATGTTCTACTGAATGTTTCTTCTTTGTCTAATTACTGCGTACACTGGTAGCAACTTTGAAATGAGAAAGGAGCTCGTACTCCTTTTATTTTCTGTTTAAAACGAAACAGAAAACAAACTGAAACATAAGCCCTGTTATACATTAACAATTTTAAAGAACATCAATTATACAAGAAAAAGACTAAGAACAAAAAGAGTGTTTACAGATACCAGACATAACAGTGAGTGGCCAATAGACCCTCACAGGGCTTTGCGGTGGTACTCAGCAGAAGCCACTTTGTAATCACTGGCAGTAAACAGAGACGCAGCATTCTTGGCCAGATATTTTAGGAAATCATGCAAATAGCCCAACAATAATGCAAGGCTTTTCTCATCAAGGGGCGTATACGCCAGCATTGCCCCGATTCTTACAAATAATCTCAGTAGGTGCGGCGCTCCATAAACCTGGGACATCGGTGCATCAGGGTGAGCCAAGAGGATTTCGGCATACTGGGGCCTCTCGAATTTGTAGAGCAGCTGAGTGCCCAACATCACATTGAAATATTCTTTTATTCCTGCCACAACTTCATTAACTGCATATTCCTTATTATCGACATTTCCCTGCGACTTCTTGCAATTTGCGTACTCTTCAAGAATGGCATCCACATTTTTCTTAGCAGGAAGTTGGAACAGCTGCTTCTGCCTGGTAACTAAGTCCCAGTCCTCAACAAGCCATGGTTTTAATTCTTCAGGAATCTTCACTTTGACTTCCATCCTATTCTTAAATGCCTCCTCACTTTCCACAGTGGGGTCTGCCCGGGCCCTTTTCTTCCGAGGTGGCTGAGGTGCTTCGCTGGTACTGCCGCCATCTCCGCCATTTCCAGGAGCCTTCTGCTTGTTCTTTCTTGTCTTCCTCACGGATCCTGAAGGGGGGTTCTCCGCAGAGCGACCCCCCCATCTTCCCGGGAGAGCTGGTTCAAGGTTCTTCTGCTGTGGACCAGCTGTCTTCTTTCCAGAGGAGGCCCCTCTCATCTTGCTTCTCTGCATGTTGCTTCTCGTTGGTTTTTTAAAGTTGTCTTCTTCTGCAGATTGTTGTCCACGAGTTTGAGATCCCTGCTTTCTGGAACTCATTCAACCCTGTTTTTATTCAAACCACTGTAATATATAAAGTATTTTACTGACTGTGATCTTAACACACTATGTTTCATGTAGAACCATCAAAGCACAACAATGCCTCTCTCTTGGAATTTGGATTTCAAATCCTTTTTCAGGACCATTTGTAAGTCACTTTCTACCTCTTCCCCTCTCTTTCATCCTCACTGCCTCCCACTACTCTCAGCGCACCCACTCACTCATCAGACCTGCCCATAAATTAGCTTTTTTGATGGCAATGACAGGAATATAATTTTAGACAAAGAATGAATTAAATGGGAAAGCAACTACAAAAGGCAGTGAAGTTGAAATTCAAGACATCTGAATAGGAAAAATGACATGAAAGAAAGATTAATTTAGTTGATTGGATGAAAAAAAAATGAATATCAGTAAAGGCTCTCATATAAGTCCAGGTAAGTCTGAAATTAGGGTGATGTCAAGAAAAACTGAGTATTGATAAATGAAGGAGTCAAAGGTGGCTCTACAAATTTAAGCCAGGGTAATTTGGAATTGGCAGTAAAATAGGAAATAGGTAATCCATCCATTTGTTAGCTATTTAGTTGCCATGCTCATCTGCTTCAGGTGCTAGAGGTTCAGATATTTAAAGTGACAATTATAAAATAACAAGGTTAGTACAGTGATAGGTATGGCACAAACAAGAAATGGTATATGACACCACTTGCTAAATGGAATGTGGTAATAAAACAGTTGTTAAGGGAGAAGCCAGTGATGACTCCTAGGTTTGGAGAATAGGTGGATAAGTCATTAGTATTATCACCAAATGAGACTGCATCTAGAGGAGGAAACAGATTAGTGTGGAAAGTAGTTCAGTCCTGGATTTATTAAGTGTGAGGTGTACAGTTAAACATATGACTTTAAAGCTCAGGTGAGAAGTCAGTGCCAGAAATGGAGATCTGAGTAATCATAGTGTGGCTGGAAGTGAGCGTCAACAAAATCATTCATAGAGCATAGAGGAAGAAAAACTGAACCAACTATGGGATTCTGGGAAAACCTAAGAAGGAATGAGATGTAAGGGGTGAGCAGAGAAACCACACAAGGTAATGGCCAGAGCAGTCACAGGAGAATGTTATTTTGGAAGTCAAAGTTGAATTTCAAGGCGGGAATGAAATAATCTACAGCACAGCATAAAATACATCAGCAGGTTAGTAAGATAATGATAAAAGCAGTATTCTATCATTCTTAAGGTGTGACAGATGGAACAATTCCTTTGACTTACATAATCCTCTTCCTTCTGTCCCTTCCAAGAACTCCTAGTGTTTTCCCAGATGGAATCCTACAGATCTTCTGGGATGGTCTGGAAGAATGAGGTGGCAGACACAACCTGAAAGGAAAGCAGGTATCTACAATGAAGATAAACTTGTGAAATAAAAAATGGGCAAAAGAAAAAAGTAATCTAATGTATAACCTAATTTATAATTTTTTAAAGATCTATCTATCTATCTATCTATCTATCTATCTATCTATCTATCTATCTATCTATCTATCTATCTATCTATATACAAGCACTGGGTACAGTCAGAAGCGCGGGAGGGTGAGAGAATTCACCAGAGCCAGAGCGGGGAGCAGAGCAGGCAGGAGGACTGAAGTACACTGCTGAGGGGAGCAGCGGGCGGTAGGAGAGGTCTGCTTGCCATACAGGACCCTCCTCCAGTGGCCGGGGAGCAGCCGGGGATCGAACTGGTGCTGCAGAGGTCACGGGCGGCTTCGCAACGCAGCGCTCAACCGCTGCGCTGGGGTGAGCTGCGCCACCGGGGAGGCCCTATAACCTAAATTTTAACCCATAGTTAAATTATGCTATCAGAAAAAATATAATTCTGCTGTTAGACACACTTCTACTTCAACTAGGCACTGCTATTTGAATTGTGAGACCTTAGGCAAGATATGTAGGTTCTCTTAGCCTTTTTTTCCATTTATGGGATGTGGCAAATTACTTAGCCTTCAAAGATTCTGGTTAAGAATTTCATGTGAGGGCCTCCCTGGTGGCACAAGAGGTTAAACATAGCACTATGAAGCAATCGGCAACCTCTGCAGTACAAGCTCGATACCTGGCTGGCCAGGGAGCTACCCACATGGCACAGTAGACCTCTCCTGCCTCATCCACTGCTCCCCTCAGCAGTGTATTTCAGTCAGCCTGCCTGTCCTGCTCCTGTCTCTGGTGAATCCTCTCAACCCCCCCCCCCCACACACACCTCTGGCCTGTACTCCAGCTCTTGTTTGCATAAATAATTCTTTTTAAAAAAACTTAAAAAGAATTTCATTTGATACAGCTTAACAGTTAACACAGTACTTTGCAGGAATACTTGCACATGTGAACAGGGATACAAAAGATGTAAGTTGTAGTGGCGTAATTTATAATACTTTAAACATTAAACTAGTCTTCAACAGGTAAATGGTAATATAAATTATTATATATGAATACTATGGAAGAACATGCAAATAACTAAGCAGTGCTCCACCTGCTGATATAGAAAGATGTTCAATATATATTACTAAACAGGCAGTTTGAATATGTACAATAAGATCTCAGCGT